CCGACGGGGAAACGCGGGTTCCCTACCTGCGGGCCGGCGTGCTCCTCCTGCTCCATGGCTGAAAGGGAAGCGAACAGTCCAGGTGAAAACGAGAAAGACGTTCCCAGGAGGACGCGTGTCCCACCAGCTCAGCCGCGTAGATGAGCCTCCCGCCTTCCCCTGGGCTCCCTTCCGCGTGAAGCTAGGTTTTCAGCCCTGGCCCGAGGGCCCAGGTGGCTGGCGCACGGCCCTGTGCACCAAAGGTCACCAGCTCGATCCCGGTCTGGGCACATGCCGGTGGCAGGCTCGGTCCCGCTCATAGCCAGCAGCGGGAGTGCTGGAGAGAGCCGGTCCATGTTTCTCTCTCTCCCCCATTCCTCTCTCTAAAATTGTTAAAAACATATTTAAAAGGGTTTTTTAAAATTATGTTCTCAGCCCTAGCCAGTTTGGCTCAGTGGGTAGAGTGCCAGCCTGCAGACCCAAGGGTCCTGGGTTCGAGCCGATCAAGGGCATGTACCTGGGTCGCAGGCTCCTGCCCGGCCGGGCCCAGGTCGGGGCTCGTGCAGGAGGCAGCCAGCTGATGTTTCTCTCTCGTCGCTGTTTCTGTCTGACTCCCCCTCTCGCTTCTACTCTCTAACAACCCACGGGAAATATCCTGGGGAGGTCAACAGACAAACACAAGCTAAGGTAAACAAACACGCCTGTGTTTTCACTGACAGGAAGGCCCAGATGGGAAAGGAGAGACGTCTCCCTGAAGAGGGGCTGCCTTTTCCGAAGCACCAAGCCGCGCCCCTCGCCATGAACAGCCCCCACGAGGCCGCCGGCACCTGGAACTGCAGCCCAGGCCCCCCACACACACACCCTCTCCAGCCCTGCCCAGCCGGCAGGGCAGCGAGCAGCTGGCCCCATGCCTGCCCAGCCAGCGGCAGTTCCAAACTGGCACTGGGCACAGGTCGGAGGGCACCCTCCCCAGAGGCCCGGGCTTGGGGACCTCCCCCCCCCCAGCCCCGTGTGGCTGAGCCCTCACGGGGGTGTGTTGGGTCCAGGGGACCAGCCTCACTCCCCTGGCCAGGTCTGGGGTCTTCACCCTGCAGCTCCCTGGCCCCGCGGGAAAGTGGGAGCAAGGAAGGGTTTCTCTCTTCCAAAGTTCCACCCAGAGGTCAGGGAGCCGGCAGGCGTGGGGTCAGGTGCCTTTGCTCCCGGGGTCCAATGTCCTGTGCCCTCCCCACCCCGCGGAAACCCATCGGAGTCCCCCAGGGCCAGCAGACCTGGACGCCCCCTGTGGCCGGCTACTGCCCTGACCAGGCCTCCCCACACCCGCCAGCACCTGCTGCCACTGCTCTGGGGCCAGAGGGGAGGGACCCGGTGCAGAGCCGAGGGCCCTGGCATCAGGGTTGGGGGGATACCTGGGTTAGGGGTGTCAGGATTAGTGGGAATGGCAAGTTAGGGGGTGTCTGAGCTGGCTGTGGAGGTTAGACAACAGTATTACCAGGCGTGAGATTTAGGGGGGACATTGGGGTTGCGAGGGTTAGGGAGGCGTCAGTTGGGGGTTTGCGGGGGTCGGGGTAATGGGGCGTCAGTGTGACAGGGGCGCCAGGTTAGGGGGTGTCAGTGTTACCGTGGCTTCGGGGTTCAGCGGCCACGGGTAGGGGGCGTCGGTGTTACAGAGACATGGGTGTTAAGAGGGGCGTCGGTAGGGGGCTTCATGGTTCCTGGGGTGTGAGGGGCGACGCGGTTAGGGCGCTGGTGTTAGAGCAGCAACACGGTTACGGGGTAGGAGCTGGGGGCGCCGGTGGGGGCACAGGCCGCGT